ATGAGAAATCATTTAAATCAAGTTTTCGAGAGGCGTTGTATAGGACGTGGTGGTCCACAAGATTGGCCAGCCAGATCACCAAATCTTAATCCACTTGATTTCTACTTATAGGGTCACTTAAAAGCTTTGGTTTACTCAGTGACGATAAATACTGAAGAGCAACTACGACAACGGATAATTGACTGCTCCAATCAAATTCGTACAACGCCAAGGATTTTCGATAGGGTACGCAGATTCTGGAGGAGAAGAGCAGGTGTCTGTATTGAAATGAATGGTGGCCACATTGAACATTTACTTTAAATAAAAGAGTTAGACTGATATGATAAAAAATACGGTACTTTCCATAATAGTAATAAAATATTTTTCACTTTAATTTCTCACACTTTTATTATTTAAAATAATTTCGGCGCTTCTCTTATTAAACAGGGCGATTTGGTAATTCTAAATTGAAATAACCACGCCATAATTTTCATGAATTTATGTTGATTAACCTGTGAGCAACCAATCAAAAAATAAATACATACTTGTTTTTCAAATACGAGTTCAGTAAAATGTTTGCCTTCAATTTTCTCGAAAACCATTGCTTTAAGCGACTTGCAATAGGAGTACCTTTTTTATGGAAAAAAGGTAGTAGTTTTAAAAAAATAGACCCATGTTCTTAAAAATTGACCCATGTTGTTAAAAAATCAACCCCTAAAAAGTTAATCATAAATCGACCCCTTACCCTTGCAAGAACTACCCGTTCTGATAAAATAAGTAATTTTTCGATATCACCATTGGATTCAGCAGTAAATTTTATGTCAGCAGTGATTTTTTTTTTTAAGTTTTATTGTGTTTTTTAAGCTTACAATTTTAAAAAACCACTTTCCAAGTTTGCCCTTTTGATTCCCCTTAATATACATTTAACGACCCATAGTTATAGGAACTTTTTTTACTAGTTTTAGGAGTACTATCACCTCCCGAATTTTTTTACACTATTTCAACGACACCCTGTATAAACATATTTACATAGTCGCCAGTACACATAAATGGTAAAATATACTTCATTTTACATAAATTAACATACAGCATACTCGTATAAAATTTAAAATAAAATAGGATTTTAAAAGATCATGCTTGATAATAGTAATAAAAAATATATAAAAAATACAAATTTGAAAATTTTTGCGTGACATTTCACTCTTACAAAATAATTGTTAGTGTTATATAGATACACGTCCAGTAATATCTTTTTAATTTGATGTTTAAACTTTTTTCGTGGTAGATTACGGATGTGGGGCGGAAGTGCATTATAGAATGAAATGCCTATTGTTCGGGACTTGTTTATTCTAGTTCTCGTTTAAAAAAAAAAAATTCTATGATATTCGTCAGGATTTTGTGCTAATTGTTGGTTGGAAATTTTTTTTATCGTAAGATCCATAAACTAGACACTTCAAGCTTCAAATTGCTTTTATTTTCATCCACATACGACCATTTTTACCAAAGATACAACCACTCGAAAAATCGCAAAAAATCGATTTTTTTTTTGATCCCTTAATTTTTTCCACTAGTGTATAAATATTTATGTTTATTGGACAGCATTGTTAGCTATATCACAGATCGACATTTTTTTTTTCTCAAATGATCGTAGACTGTCTAAGAGTTCCTTCTGTCGTATAGAGTACCGTAGAGCGGTGCTACTTTGTCCAGATTTTAAACATTATGGGCAACTTTACTTTAAATTGTAAAAGAATTGCGTTGTTTTCTTTCTGTCTTGAACTTTGATGTATATGTCACAGATACTTCTGCATATAAATGGTAAATTTTGAATTTTTATAATTTTTTGTATTTTTTAAAATCGTGGCAAAGTAACCTTCGAATTGGTGTTACTTTGCCATTGCTAATAAAATAAGTGAAAACGCAAATTATAACGCATATAGGTGTTCCTTTGCCTCATAAATATGTTTTTAAAAATTATATTCAACATATTGTAATGCATTGTTGGCAAATAAAACACAAAATACTCAATTTGTACTCTTTTATTTGAACTAATGAAAAAGATCATTAACATAAATTTATAAACTTGTTGAGGTTTGAATCATATTTGTGAACACCTCTACGTTTAATTGGTGGCCTTAACACTTTCACAATGTATTCTTGCCGCATCACACCTATATCATCGACGGTGGGGAATACGAACGAAAAATTATCATTATTAATATTAGTGCTTCTTAAAAATTTAATGCTGTAATTCTCGTCATCTATATTCAAAATCAGGCCTATGTAGTGTTTAATTGTTTTTTTAGTGGAGAATTTCACGATAACAAAGTCTTCAATTTTAGGTTCTGTCATGATTTCAACGTCACAGCTCTGTTCTTCACTTTCAATAACATTTTCTTCATTCTCCATAAAATTTTCTTCATTTTCAATAACATTTTCTTTATTTTCGTCGTCTTCCTCCACTTCTATTTCCAACTCTTCTAATGTTACATCACCGTCTTCGACAGAGACTGACATTCCGGGCACAACTTTTAACATCTTTTTTTCTCCCTTTCTTTACATTTGTAGGCCCTCTTTTTTCCTTTAAATATTCCAGAAGGGCATTGTCTATTTCACGACCCAAATTTTCCACTGTTTGATTAGGAAGTCTTTTTATCACCTGCTCTCTATCCAATGGTATGATTCCCGTTGCACGAAATGCATTTTTGATGTTGTTAATGTCGGATATAGAAAGTGCATCACACAATTTTCGGAGGAGTCCAGGAAATGTTGTTTTATTTAGGGCTGACTCTTTAAGATTTCTCATTTTATAGTCAGTGAGAATCTTCCTCCAGTGTCTTTTCAAAGGGGCGTAATAACCTACATCTAGGGGTTGGGTGATGTGAGTTGAGTTCGGTGGAAGGAACACGAAACTGATATTATTTCTGGCACATGCCACCAACATATCAATATTAAGGTGCGAGGAAAGATTATCACCTATAATAACCTTTTTACCCTCCTTTTTTCTTGCCCAAGGAACAGCTATGGTATTAAACCAGTCTTCGAATATGAAGGCATCGAACCATCCGGACTTGCTGCGGTTATATCTTGTTCCGGGGGGTCCACCAACTGTCCATAAATCATATAATCTTTCCGCTTTGTATACCACATACGTTGCTAAAATAGTCCCATCACCAGCTGCTGCTGCAATTCTTTCAGGGTATTTTGTACCCCTTTTAAAAATACATTTTGTGGAGCCTGGATTGTCGCTTAAATTAGTTTCGTCGTAATTCAAAATCCTGTCAGGTGTAACATTTTCCAACGTCCTTCCCAAATTATCGAAATAAGCCTTAATTTCATCTTCTGATTTTGCGGCCCTGGCTTGTTTTATATTCTGACATATTCTTTGTGTCACTCTGTGTTTATGTATTTTCCAGAAAATTTAGACTCCAGTCTTTTCCTGGTAGATTATTTGGAAACTTGAGAACTTTTCGACCGATTTTATTTAGAAACCTCTTAATTAGGATTCGCAGGTCCAGCTGTGTAAGTGGGCTTCCAAATTCTGCGGCAGCTAGCAGCACATCGACAAAATGTCTTTCTTCTACTTCTGATAAAATAACCGGGCGTCCAACATTTTTTTCATGTTTCTTATTTAATTTATTAAAGAGCGTTCGCCTCGGTATATTATAAATATTTGACGCTTCGGTACAGGAGTTCTAATAGCAAACAGGGCTGTTTTAAGTTGTTCTTTAGTATAGTGTTTATACCGTCTGGCCCTCACTTTTTTTTATAAATGCGTCCCATTTTGTATCTAAAAGTACAAAAAAAGGTGTAAGTCCGCAAAACTGCAAAAATATATGGGTGGCAAAGTAAGCCTCAACGGAACCCCAAAATAAAAAAAAAATTGCTACGCCGATGAGACTATGAATATTATTTTTTGACACGGCTGTTTTTAATAGTTAACTATCACAATACTTCGTAGTAATAATAAATTTAATCTAATATATTTGATTTAGTCGGTATAAAGCTTAGTTTTCAAAATTTTAATAGAGCATATTTTTTCCCGAAAAGTTTAATTGAGATGTAACTCACCTTACACACTCAGCGTCTGTACACAACTGGCAATACCACTTCTTCCAAATCTGCCGGTAAGCGATATGAAACCCAACCGTCGGCAGCGTTGCCGTTTTTCAAAATAAAAATTATTTTTAATTATGTTGCACTTCCTTAGCAAAATAACCCACCAGTGCAAAGTAACACCGCTTTACGGTACATAGGTAGAGATGTGAGCTATAGTAACTAAGTGATGAATCTGGTAGATAGTCTTGCTGCTTGGTTAAATGTTGTTGTAAAATGCAGATATTAAAGTACTTTGCTTTTAATGATAGCTGGTTATATTTTAACTTCCTACACTTTGAATTCAATAGCCACATAACAAACATTTGACTGATGCAAATATTTTTATGCAAGAAACTAAACACAAAACTTGCTGGTTCAAAAAATATTTTAAGGGTTTTGTTTTAATGTTAAATTTGTAGAGCTTTAATTGGTTCTCAATTAGAAAATTTTAGTGTCGAGTCTTAAATACACTGTCTTGTGATTGGTATAAGAAATAAGTAGTAAAAAGATAGAGACTGATATATTACAAATTGTTGAATGAGCAATTGTAATTAGTAAGTTATTTTATTCCGAATTCGTACAGTGTCTTACAAGATCTTCTACAATCTGCAAACATATACAGGGTGTCCTCTTTAAATTAAAAAAGTTGGGGGTATTTCCGGTGAAACTGGGAGTACAGTAGTAACAAAAAATATGGCATCAGATGCGTTATGCGTCATTGTACTTGCCTGCAAAGTTTCATAAATATTGTCCTTTTCGTTTTAAAGATATTTACTTGGTTCCATACTTTATCCCAAACCTGTACATATCCCAACAACTATTAACTCTAAATGATTTTACTGGAAAGGTGACAATTATAAACACGTCTGCATTTATTCAATTATTTAATTCTAAACTTAATTTACAAAAAGCATATTATACAAACAAGCGTTTATCATTCAGTACAATAATTACAATATAAATTTAGTTAAAAAGTAAAATAAAAATAGCGATTATTGCTTTATTCTCATCGCCACTTTTTTAATACACAAACTATACCGTTCATAAAATACACTAATCATTAGAATAAATGACTATTATTACCTTAATAATATGGAGATAAACTTAACGATTTTAATACTGATACAATAAAAATTATTGTTACATCTGTGCCAAACGTTTTTTCAAATTTTCTAACTGCAACACAATCTCTTTTGGTAAATCTTTACCAACTTGATCATCAAAATATTTTTCGATAGCTTCCACTTCGTTCAACCAAAAATCTTTGGGTATATTAAATAGTTCTTCCAAGTTTACATTTTCTTCGATTCCTTTTAAATTAAAACTATTTGGAGCAGGAATTAAACCTATTGGTGTTTCTTGCGCGATCTTCTCTCCATCCAGTCTTCTTAAAATCCAGTCTAGAACCCTGGAGTTTTCCCCAAAACCTGGCCATAAGAATTTCCCGTTGGAGTCTTTTCTGAACCAATTTACATGGAAGATTTTTGGCAGTTTGTCAGATCTGTTTTCCATGGATAGCCAATGGCTTAAGTATTGTCCAAAGTTGTAACCGAAGAATGGTCTCATTGCAAAAGGGTCGTGCATTATGACTTTGCCCTGAAAAGAATATAAAATAATAAATATACTGGCTAAATAAATATAATTTGTGTTTCCTTTGTAACAAAGAAAATGACAGAAAGAAGAGCAATTGGATAGTATTTTTGTTTTCAAAAGTTCCTTTCATGTATTTTAAGCTATCGTTTTTGCCTAATAGATCACATTGGAGAAAAAAAGATTATTGTTAGCATTGGACAATTTTGTATAATTTTGTTTTTGATTAGACAGTTTATTGTTTTTGTTGTGTATTTAAATATCTTGCGTACATGCGTAAACAAACCATGCCGAACTAGTTGGGGGAACGACACTAGCTAGCCGACCATTCGATCAGTAGGTGGAATTATAACACCGCTATTGTATATTTGTTTAAATGTATATTAAATAATAAAGTGACAATAAAAGTAAATTGTTGTTATTAACCTTTCATGAAATTGGCGACGAAGGTAGTGAGCTTGGACAATATCCGAGTTTTATCCACGCGAAAAGGGCAAACTGTTAAAAAGAACATTCCACGAGTCGGAAACTAAAATGGCCGGAACAAAAGGTATGATCGGCAAAATTAATGAATTTGATCCCAACGTGGATGATTGGGTCATTTATAAAGAAAGGTTGGAGCAATATTTTAAAGCAAACAAAATAGAAGATAATGAACTAAAAGCAGCAACACTAAGCCTGGTAGGCAACGACTCGTACAAACTTTTAAGAGACATTTCATTCCCCGTGGTACCAAAAGAAAAAAAGTACGAAGAAATAACCGTCCTGCTAAGGGAACATTTTGCTCAAGAGTATCGGTGTTCAGAGAAAGAATAAAATTTTATAACCTACAACAAGAAGAGGAAACAATCGCAGAATGGTATGTTCGAATAAGCAAAATGGCTGTAAATTGCAGTTTTGGAAACACCCTAACAGCAATTTTAAGAGACGAGGTTAAAAAAAGGTAAAATTTTGGATCATTTCTGCGAAAAAGAAGAAACTACCGAACTAAAAGTGATGGTCGACACGGCCTTAAAAAAGGAATCCACCATGTTGTGGATTCCGAATTAGTGAATGTAAATTATGTGGGCGGAAGAACGAATAATACAGGCGCAAGCGCGAGAAGACTAGCGCAGGCGTGTAGACCAACATCAATGACCTACAGAACAACAACGGCAACGCGAAAAATGGGTCCGACATTTGACAGACCTCAAGAAATATCAACGTCAACTACGTCAAGTCAGGAAACCGAGAATGACATTCCAAAACAATGGAGACATGAAAATAGAAATAATAATAATTATTATGTGAACGAATGTAATACCCGTGGCAAGAACCATAGAGGAAGGTGTACGTACGCAAATTTTAGATGTAGAAAAAGGACAGCGTGTGGTCATACCAGAGACCTTGAGAAAACTTATGCTAGAAGAACTCCATGGAGGACACTTTTGGGTATAGTAAAAACCAAAACAAGAGCTAGATTATATCTGTGGTAGCCTCACTTGGATCAGGAGATAGAAAAAAAAGTAAAATTATGTATAGGAGGTTCAAAAACGCTACCAGACCTCCCCAAAAATATTCTGACATCGTGACCAGTAGCTACAAGACCATGGGCCAGGATCCATATAAATATTTTAGGCCCAATACAAAATATAAAAATTTTCTGCTGGTAGCAGATGCATATTCGAAATGGGTAAATGTTTATTATAAGCTCTGTAACAGCTATGGAGACAGAAATAAAACTAAGAAAGCTTTTTGCAGATTTTGGTTTGCCGGATACAGTAGTATCAGGTAATGGTAGAGCTTTTGTGTTAGAACAACTGGAAGGTTTTTTTAAGAAAAATGGCATATGTCATATCACCACACCACCATTTAACCCATCATCAAATGGGGCAGCAAAAAGGAATGTACAAATATTCAAATACAAACTTAAAGCAGCACTAAAAAAACCAAAGACAAAGGAGGTTAAACTAGAGGTCCTCATTTCAAGATTTTTATTACATTACAGGAATGCAGAACATAATACTACTAAAAATACACCAGCATACTTGATGTTTGAAAGGAATTTAAAAACCAGATTAGATCTGGTAAAAGAAAGCCAAGCAAAAAGACTAGAGGAGAAAGGAAATAACCAACAAAAAATTAATACCTTGAAGTGTCAAGAGGCCATATCAACATATAACAGAAAGGTACAAGTACAGACTCTTAAAAATAAAATTGGTCTACACACAATAGACAATACTAAAAATATTATTTTAAACAGTTTGGATCGAGTTACAAACCCAATTCCCCAAACTAAGGAGGTAGATAAATCAGTTACATTAGTTGAGGACAATACAAAGGATAGGGAGATCAGGTGTCTCCCTCCATAAACGGCTAAGAGTAAAACCTATTAAGCTCAATGATTATGAATTAAACCAAAGGTGAAGGTATGTTGTGTATTTGAATATCCCGCGCACATGCGTGAACGAACCATGCCGAACTAGTGGGAGAAACGACACTAGCTATCCGACCACTCGATGAGTAGGTGGAATTATAACACCGCTATTAGGCATTCCAACGACCTGTCCAAATGGCTACCAGTGGGTAATGACAGTTTAGATATGGCAACCCTGTTGTCATGTTGTCATTAACAGGGTCAATGAAACATATATAGTTATATAGATTGCTCAAAGCTGGTCGTTTACGAGCGGCCATATTGTCTGGCAAATATTTATTAATTTGAATCGGTTTAGCAAAAATGTGTTTTAAAACCAATTATTAGCCTTTAGATATTTAAAAAAAAATAATTGCTTACATTTTTACTTCAAGGCATAAGCTTATGATTATTTTGAAAAATATGGATCATCAATCTATGTAACTATCTATTTCATTGACCTTGTCAAATCACCAGACCTACAGGGTTGCCATAATTTTGCCATATCATAACCCGTCAAAACCCACTGGTAGCCATTCAGTTTGGAATGCCTAATTGTATATTTGTTTAAATGTATGTTAAATAATAAAGTGACGATAAAAGTAAATTGCTGTTATTAACCCTTCATGAAAGTCTATCAATCCTAAGAAGAGAGAAATGGTCCTTTTCACAAGAAAAAGGATGAAAGTGGAATTAAAACCTCCAGAACTTCTAAACACAAAACTCAACTTTGTACCAGAGGTGAAGTACCTAGGTCTCACTTTTGACAGCAAAACAGAGTTGAAAGAGCATACATTTGCTTAAGAATAATGCCGTCGCACCGTGGGGCGCACCTAGGGTTTCTCCCCCAGAATTGTCGCATGGTCTTACACGGCTATCATAAGACCTATGTTAACATACGGTGCAGTTGTCTGGGTACCGAAAACCCAAAAAATTAACAGCTATCCGTAAACTAAAACAAACTCAAAGAACAGCATGTCTCAACATAACAGGAGCCATGAAAACAACACCGACTAGAGCCATGGAAGTCATTCTTAGTCTCACTCCCCTTGATATTTACATCAAGGAGGTTGCTCTGACGACAATGATACGCCTCCGCACGGTTGGAATAGAACCTGATGTAGGATCTGGTGAAGCAAGACGTCGCTTTTGACAGGATGCGGTCGATACGTTTCCACTGTTTCAAGCGAACATGAACTCCATCTCACCGAAATATATCTTTCATAAGCCATATAAAGTTATAATAGAATAAATAGAAGAGCCAGAAGTTTCAGGTACGATTCATATCTACACCGACGGTTCTAAAACAAAACAAGGCTCCGGATGTGGAATATACTCCAGATACTTAAATCTAAATATAAAATGAACTGTGAGCAATAGTGCCAGTGTAGTTCAAACAGAGCTAACGGGGCTTCTCATAGCGGCAAAATAAATAACCAGAAACAATATCACTAGAAGGAACATGCTCATCTATACAGATAGAAGGCAAGCACTACTTACCCTGAACAGACCACAAATTTACTCAGGGTTAGTACTAGAATGTCACGAAGCTTTGGCCAAAGTATCCATCAACAATATGGTCACCTTAAGATGGATCAAAGGTCACTCCACATCGAAAGGTAACCGTCTTCCTGATTCACTAGCCAAGAAAGCAGCCAACTAAATATTTTTTGGACCTGGCCCTTCTATTGGCCTGACAAAATCGGTAGTGACAGACCTAATTAAAGAACATTCCCTTGTGAAATTCAAAAAAAGATAGGATGAAACAAGAAACTGCAGAGTTGTCAGGGAGTTCCTAAGTTATCCTGACAACCCTGCACCAAACAAATACTTGACTGTGACTAGACCGAATCTTCGCCTAGTTACAGGCATTTTGATTGGTTATTGCCAAGTAGGGAAGCATCTCCATATCATGAGGCTGTCAGAATCCGCACTCTGCAGAGGGTGCGGAAGATGAGACCATCTAGCCTATCCTTTATGATTGGTCGACGCTCTCATGTATTAGAAGATTTGTGTTCGGCGAGTATCGGCTAACACCGGCCGATATAAAAGAAGCACCTCTTGGCGACGTTGTCAACTACATTTAATCTGTAGGCTAGCTCACGAGCTAGGATGTGCCTATCATCTTGGAAGGATGCACAATACTGTGGGGGTAACCCACCCTTCGCACCTTACAGATACAGTGAACAGCAGATAGTTCTGCATAGTTTATAAAGGGTGTAGAAGCAGAAAGGCATAAAAACAAAAGTATAGAAGACAAAGAAGTTCTTTGGTATATTTTGTTAAAATTTTTATTTGTTAATAATATATATTCCGGGTGTTCCATAGGTTTCTGGCCAGCTAACATCTAAATTATTTGACAATATAAAATTTTTTTGTATATATGGGATGGAACGCTTTTTACAAAATGAACTTAAATCAACCCCGTGTCAAATCAATTGATAAAAACCATCCTTAATATTTAATTTTCAAATTCTACTCTATATTCTAGTGATATTTTATAAGCAAGTTTAGTTTTATGATTTACTTTCGATATTTTTCATAGATAGAAACTTATTAGTAATATCAACTCATTATTATCCTTTAAATCTAGATTAATATCCAAACCAAGGTCTAAACGGCATAAAGAGAACCCAATTTTTATTAAATAAAACTCACTTTATATTCAGCAGCTGCAGTGGCTTCTGATCTCATCGAGGATCCAATAAAAACGCCATGTTTCCAATCTCTTGCTTCGTACACCAATGGTACACCAGTTGGTCTTCTTCCACCAAACAAAATTGCCGATATAGGTACACCTTCCGCGTCCTCCCAAGCTGGGTCTATAATCGGGCATTGACTGGCTGGCGTACAAAACCTAAAATATTATTTTAAACCATCGTTAGTAAATTAATTATTGATATAAAAATGTTCGATCGCCTGCGTATAGAAAGTATAGCATAATCCAAAATAGGTAATATTGGAATATCCATAGTCTCTCCAGTAACCAGTACCTACCTATCAGCTGGGCAGAGTACTGCATTAAAGTACTAATGAGTAATTTACAATGAGTAGCTTCACAAAGTACTCATAAATATCTGAGTATGAGTAGTTAAATGAATAATATGCAAAATAAATTAGTACTTTTGCAAATATTGGAGAGTACTCGTGAAAAATCGAGTAACGAGTATGAGTATTTTAAACAATTGTAGTTAGTGACTCGACATAAAATCCTTTTCTTATCTATCATATCAATCGGTAAATCAGTATCACTTAGTTATTGTGATTGATATAGAGATACGTAAGTAACAAAAACAACAAGTAGGTAAAAGTAATTTGTCAACAGCACTAATATTTCAAAATTTATGTCACATTACACTTTTAACCATTTATTATCGTTGCATGCAAAAAGAACCTTTCAGCTGTTGCGAACAAAGCACCGGTGGATCAAAGGGGGACAACGGTGCAATTAAAGTCTCCTCTGAGACTAATAACCCTAGTAGTTAATATCAGAAAAAAGAACCGTCTACGCTATGAACCCAGATAATTGCCTCTCCTTGGAAAGGTTGTGGATACGCCCCTGGAACGAAAGTAATATGGTGTATTTGTTTACAATAAAAACTTTATCAATAGATAGTCTTCCAGCATTTAAAGAGTGCTTTTTGGATCATCGAGATATCGCAGGAACTCAAGTTCTATTCTGTGTTTTTTTCTTTTACCTTGAACCCAACAGCACATTCTAAAAGCTGAGACTGCTAAGAGTGCATTCTACATTATCAAACTCCAATAAAACGTCTGGCAACCCACAAAATGTAAAACAAAAATAATAATTAGCCGTGTAGTTCCATGAGTAAGCTGAGGCTTGTTTGGGCGCGTCGGTACTCCTACTCGTTACTCATCAGCTGTAGGAATTAGAAGTACTGAGTACTCTAAAATATAAAGTACTTGAAAGTACTCAGTCTCACGGGGATGAACGTACTCAGAAGTAAAAATTACTTAGTAGTTTGAGGAAATTTATTGATTTTTCTTACCGTGAATTTGGATGGGCTGCAGGTGTACTTTGACCTTTCTTCCATGGGTTACCCTTCCAGTCTGTTATGTTCGTATTGTCTACCACCTCTTTTTCCATTCCCTCCCAGAATACCCCACCATCGCTTGTAGATGCAACATTTGTGAAGACAGTATTTTTGAAGATTGTATCCATTGCAATTGGATTACTGCTTCTTGAGGTACCTAAACACGAACATAATATTGGTCACCACAACAAAAAAGAGTGTATTTTATAGATATGAAGTATACAATGAACTGGTATTACCTGGAGCAACACCAAAGAAGCCATTTTCTGGATTGATGGCTCTTAATTGTCCATTTTTATCGAATTTCATCCAAGCGATGTCATCTCCAACACATTCTATTTTGTAGCCAGGTAGTGATGGGGTCATCATGGCTAGATTGGTTTTTCCACAAGCTGACGGAAATGCGGCAGCTATATACCGTTTCTGACCTTTTGGGTTGGTAATTCCTAATATCTAAAAGTAAAAGTATCATCAAAGTTGAATCAAAAATTATGTCTTGATATACTGATATCAAAAAGATACAATACAAATAGTCAGCTATATATGATTGCATCAAAAAAAGGATTAGTGAAGCAGTATCTAATTTATTACTATAGGAGAAAGAAAGGAGAAGAATATTGTAGAAAGTTTTATGATTTACGAGTTAGAAGTTTAAGATAAGAATAGACAGAATCAGCAAAATATGTTAGCGATTGAGGAAAACTTTCTAAGATGTTATAGAAAGTCTAAACTGGAATGGATTAAAAAAAATGAAAAAGAAAACTGTAATTTATGAGTTAAGATAGTGGCCAGAAGAACGCTTGAGTAAGTACTGTCAGTGGAAAAGAAAATATTGAAAAGAAGCTGACATGATGAAATACGTAAATGAATCATTGCAAAGATTTAGATAAAGAAATGTTACAACAAAAAAGTGAATGAAATTCGGTATAATATGTAAAACTTACCAACATGTGTTCTGCTAACCATCCTTCCCGTTTGGCAATGGTCGATCCTATTCGAAGGGCAAAGCATTTCTTCCCCAATAAAGAATTTCCACCATATCCACTTCCATAGGAAACTATTTCATTGTTTTTCGGTCTGTGCAGGATAATGGTCCTCTCAGGATCACAAGGCCAATTGGGATACTCAACAATTCCATTACTGGGCCTGCCTACGGAGTGAAGACACTTAACGAAATCCTGGTCGTCTTTGAGTTTCTTCAAAATTGGTGCTCCCATTCTTGTCATGATACGCATCGACGCTACCACGTATGGCGAATCAGTCAGTTCGATACCTAGAGATAAAATTAACTTTAGTTTTGATACATATTTAAAACGTTTAAAACCAACCTATTTTGGATAATGGTGATCCAATTGGACCCATAGAAAACGGAACGACATACATAGTTCTTCCGATCATACAAGAAGTAAATCTTTCTTTAATAGCTGCGTCCATATCTGCTGGTGCTATCCAGTTGCCTAAAGCACCTTTGACTCCATTTTTAGGTGTTGGAATTGTCTCGGATTTCTTCTCAGTGGAAATAAAGGTTTTGGATTCCACTCTAGCTGTGTCGGCTGGGTTAGTTCTGGCCAACCAACTGAAATATTAAAATAAACCTAATGTTTTTGGTTTTTTCAAAAGAGAAAACATGTGTAGGCAATCACTAGTAATGCTTTGCTATAATTAGAGAATATGTTAAATGATAGATGAACAGAAAACGAATATTTGGCTAATTTAATTTTCCTTAATATGTATCGTATTATACTTATTGCTTCAGATATATAAATACATGTGCTTGATATCGTTTGTGAAATTTTAATTTTAATGGAAACATTTACTTTGTATGTATTTATGTATATTACAAATACCTATTTTTGGATTTATTTTAAAATAACTACTTTGTTCTCATTGCAATTTTCATTTTGATAAACTTTATAAATTGTGTTGATGTTATGTGATGGATTATTTCTCGGATTATCTACCATTTTAAGGTATATATAGAATAACATCTGTTACAAAAGTTTTGGTATTTCTTGTGAAATACTTAACATAATAGTCGAGCCAAGCCATCTATGTAAAAACATTTGAAAGAGATTTTGTTAAATTATTTAATGTTGGATATTTCACATTTTTGTCAGGAGTTTGATCGATGACCCACAAATTAAATTTCCAAAAGACTTTCTACAAGCTGTTTGGTTAACATCTTTCGAGAGCACTAAACTACATTATATAGAACTATTAGAGAATGTGAGAAGGGAGTACATAGCTTGTTAAAAATTGCGCGTCCACTTAAACTAATATTATAAAGAGGCGCTATAAGTATTATTTCGCACAGAGATTAAAAGTCGCACTGGGCGTGGCTTAGAGTCGTAACAGTATGGATGCCTAGCCAGGTCCTGACTCTCTAAAATTATAAGTTTAAAATATTTTGAATAGGTTTTTTTAACTAGGGTCATATGAATAGGCAAAACTATGTCATTACTGTGGTGCTCTCATATTTATTTGATTTTTATTTCACAAAATGATATAGCCTAACATACATTTTTGAAACTATAGATTATTAAAATTTTAGTTGATTTACGAATCTGGCTAACACGAGCGCGTCATTTCCAAGTTGGTAAAAAGTGTTGTTACGATTACTTTTAAATATTTTTTTACGATGCCACTATTTACGAATATTGAACTAACGGATATAGTGCTGGTTTATGGGGCAGCTGGAGAAAATTCTCGGCAAGCACAAATCCTGTATCGCGAACGGTTTCCAAATCGGAGAATTCCGGACTGTCGTACGTTTATTTCAACTGTTCAGCATCTAAGAGACCATGGAAAATTTGAGAGTGTCAATGCAGATCGAGGGAGAACAAGAACACAAAGAACATTGGCGGCCGAAGAAGAAATATTGGAAGCTGTTGAAAACCGGCCTCAATTAAGTTGTAGAAGACTAGGTCTTGAAATTGGAGTGTCCTCATTTGTTGTGTGGCGGACACTTAAAGAACAAGGTTTACATCCTTATCACATCCAAAAAGTCCAGGCCTTATATCCAGGTGATGAAGAAAAGAGAGTGGAGTTTTGTGAATGGATGATTCAAAAATGTGTTGATATTCCTGATTTTCTAAAAATATTATTGTATACTGACGAGGCTTCATTCACTCGTGATGGCGTGTTCAATATGCACAATACGCATATTTGGAGTGATGAAAATCCTCACGCCATTAGGGAAACTGGGCATCAAAGAAAATTTTCAATAAATGTTTGGGCTGGCATAATAGATCAGTATTTAATCGGGCCTTATGTTCTCCCGAACAGATTAAATGGGCCAGGATATCTCCACTTTTTGGAAGATATTTTGCCAGTACTCCTAGAAGAGATACCGTTACAATTAAGGCAACGGATGTGGTACCTACTAGATGGCGCTCCTCCTCACTTTGATTTAAACGTACGGCAGTTTTTGAACATTAGATTTCCTCAAAAGTGGATAGGCAGAAATGGACCTACTAAGTGGCCTCCGAGATCTCCGGACTTAAATCCATGCGATTTCTTTTTGTGGGGTCACATGAAACAACTGGTTTATAATGAACCTATTAATAGTGTTGAACAATTAACCAACAAAGTTAATGCGGTAGCCGAGGAACTACGACAAAATCCAAGACTAATTTCTAATGTTCAAAGTTCTTTGGAAAGACGATTGCAAGTGTGTGTAAATAATAATGGACGGCATTTTGAACAATTACTGTAATAAACTTTATTTTGAATTAATTGGTTTTGCTACGGCAACAGTGCAATTTCTATGGGTAAGTTCAATTTCGATTTATTTTACTTCTTTAAATATGGAAACTAGTAGGTCGGAAAAGGGGACTTTTCCCCAATATTTAAATTTTAGAATTTGAAGTTAAAATTGGTGCCAATCGTTTTTGGTCATTACATACTATTCCCCATTTTAATATGTACGTGTATTTCAATAACACCCTGTATATAAAGTAAATGATAAAACAAAAAAGAAGGGAAAAAACAAAAAATAATACAAAACAAACAAAAAATACAAAAAACAAAAAAAAATAGAAGCAAACTAAACAAAAATACATATAATTAAAAAAAAATTGATATTTATATAATTGATTACAAACTCAGGTATTTTGATAGCTGTAAGTTAAAATATAATAATAATAATGAAATCATGTAACAATGGATAAAACAATTAAAGAATTACGGATTACTACAATAGTCTGGCCTTTTGGTTTTATCTAATGTCATTATTAAAAAAAAGTTTATACAAACCTAAACAAGTTCATATTTTTTAGACAAAATACGCCCAAATTATCTTTTTGAATAATACTAAAAGTAATTTCTTTTTAGTTAAAAATGTGGTTACATATTGAACCAGATTTAAATGAACTTTCTAACCAAAAATAAAATTTAATTTATAACTATTATAACTTGTAAATAAAGTATTTATCTCCTACTATTGAGTGGAAAGGACTATAGTTTTGCAGATAAGCTACTGAAATGACAATACATATAAACAATTAAATCAACCAACTGGCAGAAACTGCGCCACGTGCCACGGAAAAATATTCTCAAAATAATTTTCGTTGAACATTAGATATTTGTTATAATGTCACAATTACAGCCCTTGTTGTAAAATGGATGCAAGCCACAATTTGTCGTGAAGTGACTGTATTAGTTCAAAACATCTATTAATAAGGATACTAGCCACACAGAAATTATTTCACCTCTATTTCGAATTAGAAGCACTATTTTTAGTTATATTTATATATAATTTTTTTTTATTTGTGTTTGACAGATTTAAAACAAATTTAAAACTCCATTTTCTCAAAACTTACAATGTGACATGTATACTTATTAAGCCAAGTCCTTCAATTATATATTTATCTTAAACCTGATTTAGTTATTTACGAACCCACAAAAGATTTCCACATATTCTAGATAAACCAGTATTGAATAAGATCCATAAATTATTGATAGAAACACTGGAAAAATTTTACAAAAAGGAATTTAATAATATAAGATTTTAAAACCAGAGGTTATCAAGAAATAGTGTGTATTTAATGTATAAACCTCACAGTCTGTTTCACTTATTGTGACCTATTAAAGCTGTCAATAAATTTATTTGTCTGGTGTATTTTTGATATTAATTTCAGCGTTTGTTGAATGTACCTACCTGGAATACTATGCGAATCATTTTACCATCTCTTTCATGTAAAATTATATTATTATACCGGCATTGACATTTCTTATCTCACTATTTTACGTAAGGTATCCATTTAAGTACATGCGTACTTGCAATTGTGTTTTTTTTTCACAGAAGTGATTATCCTAACCAAAAAACTCACTTGTAACCCCCAGTGGAAAAAAAACATCAGAAAAGCCAGATTATCCCTCTGGAGTCTCAGAAGGATATGCGGCAAAGCATGGTAGATCAGTCCCCAACTGATCTACTGAATTTACCCAACCGTAGTAAAACCCATGCTTACTTAGGGTGAGATTACAGAACGTCTGCAACTTTGCAGATCTGCAAATATGGCGGTAACTTTGAAAATCTGCAAATATGACTGACTTACACATGCAAGTATCAAGTTTTCGTATTCCAAATTTGGGTTTAGTGTTGTTGGGGGTAATAAACCACAATAAATATTGCGAATTTGCAGATATTTTTTGGAATACTTACATTTGTAAGTCCGCCATATTTGCAAAGTTGCAGATGCAAAGCTGCAGACGTTCTGTAATCTCACCCTTAGTCGTTAAGTGGGACAAGGGCCTCCAACAGACAGCCAGAGCAAAACTGACTGAATCTTGCGGCTTGCGTATGTCGCCATCACTGGGTAAATTTCAACCCCACTGACGGGAATAATGAAGATCACACTGGATCTAGCTCTCCATATTTTGCTGGAAAGGGAGGCCAGGATGGTCTCCTATAGACTCCTGTTGACTTCTAATAGTGGGTAGTCAATGCAATAAGATCTGCGATTGGACAAAACGGTGCTGATAAGTAAAATTAATAACCACCACATCTTCGACACGGTCTCAGATTTACTAGTTCCCTGACAGCGCATAGAAAAGTATCCTTATTCCAGAGAGAGATAATGGTGAAAGGGGAATAAAATACTCTTCCAGGCAGACCATATACGACTCCAAAACTTAAAAAGGAGTAGGAACTGGAGTCTTCGTCCAGAAGCCCAGTGTCGACATATCAATAAACCCAAGCGCTCTAGTCAGGATCTTCCAAGCAGAAATTATTGCTGTAGAATTAGAATGCGAGGAGTTGATTATTTTTTTTTTAACTAACAAGATTATAATGAACCAATATCCAGGCAGCTCTCAAGGCTCTGTGATCCAATCAAGTTGATTCAAATATAGTTTTGAATTGCATAAATACGCTTGAGTGTCTCGGTGCCCGAAACAAAGTTACTGGATTCAGGGATATAGCGATGTCAAGGGCAGTGAAAAAGTTGACTTGCTCATCGAATTTGTGTTCATAGGACCAGAAACATTCCTGGGCATTGCAAAGAGCATTGCCAAAGGAATTATCTTAAAGTGGACATAGGATGTAACACTCATGAACTGAAGACATTCCCCAGGGAACTCATTCGAAGGTGTTTATACCCAACCCTTCCATAATTCGAGAAGTTATGTGTATTCTTATGGGAATATTGTCGCCTAGATACCACATGAGAAAGATAGGCCTGAAACAAATGTCGGACTGTCGATTCTGCAGTGTGGAAGACAAATCTTTAAAGCAGATTTTATGTACCTAGTCTTCTTTGAAAATAACTAGATTCCATATCTTCGGATTCACCTGACTGAAGTCCACCCATTTTATACAAGTCTCACTTAATTCAACCGCTGCCATCATCAAAATGTGTATCTTGTACTGTAAACTAAGTTAGAAATAAATCCCACGCCACTGTACATATTCATAAAAGAAGAAACCAGGCTAATGCAGGGTCAACACCCAATAAGTTAACAACATACAAGGCTATATCAGCAAGTAAAAAAAGATACAATTCTGGGAGTCATAAACACATACAAATTCGAAAGAAACTTTCAAATTCAAATAACATTCCGAGAATCCATAAAACAGTGACGTACCGTACAGGCTGAACTCATCTAGTATACAGACGGTTCAAAACCCAAGGAAGGAACCGGTGCTGGAATCTATGGACCCAAATCGAAAACAACGATTTCACCGAGTCTATAAGAATATGCAACATGTTCCAAGCTGAGTTAATAGCCATACAACAACGTGTAAGAGAAATACTTAATCAGCACGTTTTAGGCAAAACTATTACCATCTGTGATAGCTAAGCATAGACTGCCTAGAAGACCTGGCAGAATTAAGTAGTCAAAACAAGGTGATCATAGCCTGGGTGCCAGGCCACAAGGGGTTATCAGGGCAACTGTTTCAAAACAAATATTTTTTAAAACATATTCAGCGACCTGTACTTACTTGGTACACAGCTGTTTCAATGCGGTAAATAAATAAATGTCTACATGACCATAATGGCGGTCACTGAGTTGCATCACCGCGAGGCTAATTCAAGGTCAACCAGTTTCTGGCACGTATGTAAATGCATCTATCTTTACGAACTGTTGAGACCAGTGTGGCCACTCTAGTACAATTGTACTAGATCTAGTACATTTTCTAATAATCTGGTACACTCGAAGCAAAATCTAGTACCTTTTTCTCTTTCAGCATGTAACCATTTGACACGTGTAAAATATATTGTTAGGATCTTGATCTTTAATGAACCAAACCACATCACAATTTATTCGAAAATCTGGTATATTTTAAAGAATCTAGAACTGGTACATTTTTTTGATAAATCTGATACGTAACAAAAATATATTCTGGTAACACTGGTTGAGACAGTCAGTCGGGTAACAAGTTTAATGATTCAGTGGGCACAAAGAAACCAGAATCCCGGCTACAGGCAGCGGGGCAAATTAATAAAAATAATTTTCTCAGCAACGAACATTATTAAAAGTGTTAATCGTTACCAATAATTCAAAAGTGTTCATCGTTATTAATAAAATGTTAATATAAATAGGTTGGATTTTCATTGGATCTGGGAAAATGACAAACCTTCACCTTTGGTAGCAGTCTAGAAGTTAAGTGAGCCCTAGTTAGGGCTGAATTTACATTTTGTATTGAATTTTTTATTTCTTTGTTAAAAATAATAGTTCAATGCAACGAAAAGGCCGACGAATTAGCCTGAGAAGCTAGGGCATTGTGCAAGGCACCCATCAAACAATGGATGCAAAAATAGTCTCAGGAAAGGTAAAACAACTCTCCAAGACTGAGACAGGCTACACAGTCCATCAAGGAACCATCGGCCAAGTTCACATAAGATCTAATGGAACAAAAACGTCAAATCATTAGGATAACAGTTAGTCTTCTTACTGGACATTGTCGCCTAAGCAGGTGCATGAGTGTCATTAATCTAGCAATAGAAGTATCTTTGTGCAGGTTCTGTGAAGAAGAGGAAACATCAATCCACATTCTGTGCCAGGTTAGGCCTGGCTAGATTGTGGTTTGTAACATTAGGCGAAGAAAAGCCAAACGCATTCAACTACATGCAGGCGCCACTGTCAAAGCTACCAAGAGCCGATATTTTCACCCCTTAGTAAAGTTAAAAGTAACTACTTGCTCATTAAACTATAGGGCCATTGTTAGTTAATCTGTCAAATAAACTTACATGTAACTTTACTCAGAAGTGAAAAGATCGGCCCTTAGACTAAAAAAAAAGACCAAGCTAGACGACATACTCTAATAACGGAGCCTTACAATAGATCTGAAAAGGTCGCGGTGGACAAAAACAAATAATGCCCAACTTCTTCAAAATTTAAGCTCTAATCTAGACATGAGCTACAATAGATCCATCTGAGTCAGAGTGAAAGACTATGAGATCATCCCACTCATTTTAAACTTATCGCAACCTAACCTAACCTAATATTGTCTTATGGTATGCCGTTAATTATTTAAATTAACTTACCAGTTTTCGTATTTGGATAAAGCAGTAATTGTTCCTTGTTCCAACATCTGATCGATGAGTTTTTGATTTTCGTAATCAGTGCCATCGCAAATGTGGATTTTGTCCGGTTCGCAGAGCTTGATATTTTCTTGGACATACGATTTAACCTAGAAAAATAATATTATCAATTAAGTGTTGATTAAACAATATAAAAAAATTCGAAAAAGAAAATTTATAGAATAATTTCAATACAATGTTAACCGAAGGTTCTTGATCTTTCAAGTAGTAGTAAATATTTACGTTTAATTAAATTAATTTTGAAATAAATACTCAAATAGCAACAGTTTTTATCAGCAGCTAATTACACAATAATTAAAATTTAATAAGATATTTTAAATATTTTTTAATTATTTTTGTTTTGATTAATTTAGCCAGTTTAAATATTATCATGTATTGTTCGGTAATATTTTATTACTTTCTGGAAATTTTCTTGATTTATTTGTATTATAATTCTTCTTCTTTTGCTTCTTGTTTATTCTTCTCTTCCTTTTTTTTTACATATTTATTGTAGCTAACCTCATCCATACTTCCCCGCTTTTATATATTCTTATAATTAGTGATGGTGAAAGACTGATCTTTGTCTTATAGATTTGGTCTTGCAAGAAACCACTACCAAGAGTGACAATGCAAGATCAACTCGGCGGTGCAAAACCAACACCAAAATTGAGCTGAGTGGTCTTGCAACTTGCAACACTCTGTATTGACTTACGCACATTATAGTCTAGAAAAGAAAGGAGTGCAGTACAGGTTCATGAGGTAGACATTTTATTTATACCTCATTCTTCAATGCTTATTTGTAGTTAAAATACAAATTGTAATAGATCTGGTCGGCCTAATAAAAAGTTTTGTTTAGATTTAATCATGTTTCTATTGTTTTTACTGAAATAAACCTTTTCTTTTGACAGATAAGTCAGAATATTTATTATTTCAATTGATTTGGAATTCTGTATTACTATATATTATAATTTTAATGTACAGCATTGGCCATCGAACATCTTGCTATATTCCTTGCCACAAGTGCGGGTGAAAACTACACTGTGGCAAGCAGCGATGTCAGCCTACACGGCCTGGCCAACGTTTCAACGCGATTCGTATAAATGGCACCGTTGATACCATTCCTTTTTCCTCCAGTAAAAGGATACAAAAACTTACTCTTTTATCAAATAGATCACTCTACCCTGAATTTTATAGTATTCTGGTATTCCTTTTAAAGAGCTAATTGAAAAACTATAGAGGTCTAGAGTAAAGGATAAAGTTAGAAATGGGCGATTTTAAACTACTTATTTTAGACCTAATGACTTAAAGAGAAATTCCAACGTATTTTAAAATACTGTGTTTTTATTTAAAAAAGGTTAATTACATTTTTTAGCTGTATGTAGTACGCCATTGTGCTTTACATGGTATAATTAAAAAAACAGTAATACGTCTACTTTTACGTAATGCGATAATAACGATAATAAGTGGTTAGTAATTAATATTGAATACTAACCGTAAACATGTAATAAGTGCAAGTTGATTTTAATTTGTTTATGATTCTGCATTATCCTTTATATATCTATAAATGAATAAATTTTATTTTATTTACAAATTTCTGACTTGGTTAAGGAATATCAAATATGTCGTCAATAGAGTGAAAATATCTGAGCCTTGGTGTTAAAAATGCCTATTATTCCTTTTGATTTAGACACTCCAATCAATAATAGGAATCATAGTTATAAAGTATTATAACTAGAGCTAGGAATATATGCAAAACGCCATATTTTGCATATGTTGCATATATATACAATTTTTGATTTTGAATGCATATATTGACATTTTGTTAATATTTTGGCATATATCTGACGTACTAATTTGCTGCACATATTAAAATTACGAGTTTTGGACCAAAATAATATTTTGGGAAATGCCTTTACAGGTCGATTTCCTAAAATTTTGAAGGATTAACTTTTCCCTGTAATAAATTATGGTTAATGGTGTAGGTATAGTCCATACAAACAATAAGTCAACTACAAAGAAATACCGATAATGGAAAAAAGTTCGGCTTCCGTTTGAAGATGCTTCAAAAAAAAATTCACTAAATATTATGTATCAATACATCTAAAAAGGAGTCTCTACCAGGAGTATGTCATTATTATGCCCCTGGACGATAGTAATACACTTATTTTAATACTAAAAATTATTAACTCAACTCCGAATTGGAATATAGTAGTCCAGTTTATTATTTCTCTCTACGTCGCTGAAATGAACTGATAACCTGTGTAGACAGACTGGAATATCGTGTCGTGCGGCATTGTAGTCAAAAGTATCCGCAAAGTAAGAAGAAGCCAGTGTCGTCGCATCGTTAAGTCAGTTTATTATTTAATTTAATTGGTTGGAGTATTTTAAACATTAATTATTACCATATATTTCAATTTCTACGATTTATTATATAAAATAGATGTAATAAATAATTTTACAAAGCGAAAAATAGATTAATAATCAATCAATTTGAGGATTCGATTATGAACAATATACCTACAAGTAGAAATATAGGTACTGCGTTCCAAGTATGTGGTACAAAATTAAAAAATTATTTAAATATATACCAAATGCAAAGTGTCTATTGAAATTATCGACTGTCGGTATATAATTTTTTTCAGAAAAATAAAATGCCGACTCTGGAATAAATATTTTAATTAATGCATTTCCAATTCTTTCGAAATAAAGGTTTCTTATTTTATATCAATTCTGCATGACATACCTACCTTCTTATAGATATAAATAGGTAGGAAATAATTGACTTAATTGGTTATATTGCAAACATATCTCTACTGGTTGGGTTACTTCCCAAGTGACTTCTCGATTAGTAAACGAATACGAACGTCAACATTTTAATAATTTAGTTATAAAAAATATTTTAAAATTAAAATTACAAAGTAAATGTAGAAATAACCTAAACATAGACCGACTTATAAAATAAAATGTGACTTACATATTGCTGATTTAACTCAGATTTTCTCATTGTTTTCAAATTTGGGAAATATATTTTTTCTCCGAATATTTTGTTTCAATTGGCTCCAGAGTAACTCTATAGGATTGAAAATACAAAAATATGGTGGTAACCTTAAAACTGTATAACCTCTTTCAGCTGCAATTTCATCAACTATATACTTTTTTTCAAAATTTTTAGTTTTTAGGACTTCCAAAAGTTCATCTTTTTTATATTTTTCATCAAAATACAAATCGTGATTCATTAAAAATTCTTGAATTTCATCTTTCTTATTAGGTATTTTTTCCTTAAGCCTGGAGTGATATGAAGCATTGTCCATAACTATTACACTTTTTGGCTTTAAATTAGGCAACCGTGAATTCGTAAACCATTCTTCAAAAATATCGAAATTCATATTTGAATGGTAATCAATCTGGCAGCTATCAATTTTTTTTCCAATTAATAGTAAGGCATTGTCAACCCAACCGTCCTCTGAGCCACAGTTTAATATTATCAGTCGAGTGCCTTTATTTGGAGGGATACCTAAGGCTTGGCAATATTTATTATCGTTTGTCCAGCCCTTTTTTGTAGTATCATGCGAATCATACCACGTTTCATCCAGAAAATAAGTTGGCCTGCTTTCATTTTTATATTCACGAATTTTCTGTAAATAAGAATTTCTCCAGTTTACTATTCGTCTTGTTTCCATCACTGCGCTTCTTTTATCTATCGTTTTGTATTTAAAACCGATTTTTTTTTCAGCCAATTATACAATGTAGACTTTTTTATATTTGCATCGAAATAAGTTTCACTTAAGCGTCTATGTATAATATCAAGAGTGGGAATGGTATTTTGTTTATAAAGTTCATACACTGTATTCACAATGGATTTGGTCATGGATGGATCTAATTTTTTTGCACACCTTTGTCTTCACGGACTTTTCTGCTGGAAATCCCATTTTTTTAATTTGGTTAATTTTATAAACCGATATACCAGTAAGAAACGCTGCTTCTTGCACGGTAGAAGTGTTTTCGATATATCCACGTTTTAACAAATTTTTATAAACATTTAAACAAATTTGCTGGGACTGTTCATTTAAAAAGAGTTTATTTTTTATTTGCGTAGGCACTGCATTAGTTTCTCCATCACTGTTTGATGTACTGGTGCTCGGAATACTATCCCACGGTCTCCACATAGTTAATAACACATACACAAAAATTATTATTCGTTTATTAAAATTACTATACAGGGTGTCCTTTAAAATGTGTCTCAAAATTCTCAGGCAGATTCCTTAACCAAAAAATGGAAAAAAAGTTCCTATAGACCTATGTCCTAAAGTGCCCCCTAAGCGAGCAACAGCCTCTCGAAATCATTTTTTTTATTTTGATTTTTTGAATTTTCTTAAAAATGGAAACAAATAAAAGAACCAAATTTTGGCTGTTAAATATGATCAATAATAGTGACCTTTTGACACCTTCAAAAAGAAATTATTTCGTCAGGGGTGTACTTGGGAATTTTTTGAAAATTTTGATTATTCATAACTTTTTTGTGTTTTTGGTAATGACTTATCCATATTTTTTTTTACATTCTACATTGAAAACTACGTCAAAAAGGAATACATGTTTGATCTCGATTGGAGCAGCCGTTTCCGAGAAAACATCATCCAAAGATATTCGTGCAGTTTAGGTTAATTTTCAATTTTGGCTGTTGTAGCCAAAAAGTTGGAAATCGAGGAACACGGCTTACATGTCCCTATCCTTACTTTTGAAGGTCTATTCAGTGGCAAAAAATATTAGTTGATACAGGGTGATCAAAAATCGGATGTGATTTTGGATTTTTGATCACCCTGTATCAAATAATATGTATTTTATGTCACTGAATAGACCTTAAAAAGTTAGGATAGGTACTGTAAGCCGTTTTCCTCGATTTCCAACTGTTTGGCTACAACAGCCACCTGAATTTGAAAAAATGTGATTTTTGAGTAGCTGTAGATCCTTTACTATTCATATTAGATAACAAGTGTGATATATCATTGAAATCAGATTATCGAGCAGATTCTAAAAATATAAAAATATACAGGGTGTTCCATTTAAAAAACATAACTTTGATTTGGCACGGCCTTATGAAACACCCTGTCAC